CATAAAGAAGGAAAGGCTCCAGTGGCTTCCTGACATGGGCACGGAGCCCTGGGCCCACCCCGTGCCCACATGGCACTCAACAAGACGTGCTCGGGGCCGCAAGGTGGGTGGAAACAGGCTGATGCCCAGTGCCCTGCAGGCAGCAGGGGCACAGGGGCTGCGGGTGATACCCAGCCTTGCTGTTGCTTCATGCCTCAGTTTCCCCTCTCTGCAGGGGTGGCTCTGGGCACCCCACTGGGGCTGGGACTCATCTGCTGAAGTGTAGCAAGCCCAGGGATAAGGATGAAGCCTCCATGGGAACTGAGACCAGCTGGGAAGTGTCTCCAGCACACAGAGGGACACTTTGCACAGTCCAGGGTAGGTAGAGAGTGGCACCCACAGAAGTTACCCCAATTAATCACTGGCTGCTCCAGGACCCTGGTTCAGATGCCCTGGGCTGTGCTGGTGGGACCCCATCTCTCACCTGGCTCAAGGAGCCTGCGGGTGGCAATGGGGCTTTCCTCTTCCTCGGGGTGCTGCTCTTCTCCCTGCCTATGGACTGGCTGGGCGAAGATGTCTGCAAGACCCCAAGGCAGAGAAGATTTCACATTTCACATCCACAGCAGCCTCTCTCCTCGATAACCCCACACCACCCCACTGACATCCAAGTCTCATCCTCCTCTGACTAGGGCCAGGCAACCAAGGAGAAGTCAGGCAGGGCCTTACCTGGGATGTCTGCTCAGCCGACTCCTCCTCTGCAGGGAAGGGAATATAGGAAAGGGAAACAGGGAGGTTAGAAGCTCCTGGGGATGGTTGCACCAGGGATATCCTGGCACAGGTGCCGGGGCACTGCAGAGGGTGCGCACGCAGGGATGCCCGTTCACGTATGTGCCTGCACGGGATGCAGGTGTGTGTGCGTACCAGGGGCACACGCTGACACCAGGGGGTCCCTCACACATGCAATTGCAGGGATGCCACCCGTGTGCAGACCCGGGGGAGCCGGAATGCGTGTGCACATGCAGATGGGAACCTTTCATGATGCACACATGTATGCTTTTGCACCCACGCTTGCAAGCACATGTGCAAACGCGTGTGTCCGGGTGTACAAAGGCACAGGGACGGGGAGATCCAGACTCAGAACCACCTCCCAGCCCTTGGCTGGGGACAGCATGGATGAAAGCACCCCAAGCACATGCGGAAAGGGGGCTTGTGTCCCCCAGCCCTGCTCAGGGCTGACTACACTCTGCCAGCCATGGGTAAGACCGCCCTGGAGGCAGCCTCCTCAAAGCACCCTACAGGGGAAAACACATGTATGGGACAATCCCCCAAAGCCCCCCAAGGCACCTGGGCCAGTGCAGCTGCCTTACCGCTGGCCCAGGAGCGGCGCTGGGCCGCCTCTTGCAGGAAGTGCTGGACGAGAGCGTTGCCCGTGGCCAGGCTGTAGTGAGCCGCATCGTGGCCCATGGAGTCCACCACGGCCACACGGGCACCCGCGTTGACAAGCACCTCCACGGTCTCCACGCTGCCATTCTCGCAGGCCAACATCAAGGCCGTTCTGAAGAGAGCGGAGAGAAGAGGTAAGGGGTCTGGTCCCCTCCATAGGTGCCCTGTCCCCGTCAGAGCAGGGGCTCACCTCCCTTGCAGATCTCGGCTATTTATGGCCGCTCCACGGTGCAGCAGGTACCGGCACAGCTCCGAGTGGCTCATCTTGGCAGCGAGGATCAGTGGAGTGAAGCCATCCTGGGCAAGGACAGTGTGTGTGCCCATCCTGGGCAAGGACAGCAGCACCCCATGAACCCAGGTATCACCAACTGTTAGCTGCTGCTTCCCACCCCAGAAGTGGCTGCTCTACACAGCAGCATCCCCTGCCCTGGTGGGGTTTAATCACTGCAGGAGGACTCAGCCTCCATGCAGTAGCAGATACTGAGCAGAGGGAGTTTACTTTATCCTTGATGTTCAAGGGAGCCTTGAAATCGCAGAGTATCTCCGAGCATGTGATGCAGCCGCTGATAGCTGGGGAGAAGGACACAGGCTGAGCGGTGCCTCCCGCGGGGACCAGAGCGGGATGCGCTGGCACTGTCCCCACTCACCCGCATGGTGCAGTGCTGTCCGCCCGCTGTTGTCAGGCATGTCCACAGGGCAGGAAGCCTGAGGGAGAGGACCTGGCTTACCAGGGAATGGGAAGAGCCAGCGGGACTGCCCAGGTTGGCCTGTGAGGTGCTCTGGGTTCCTCGGTGGTGGTGGAGCATCCCCACCCTCACGGCACCGTACGCCCGGGCCCTGTTACCTGCAGCAGCTTCCCCACACACTGCGGATGGCCGTGCTTGGACGCCAAGTGCCGGGCAGTGTAACCTGGGCAGAGGGACAGAAAGATGGGTTAGAGCCCAACGGAGGAGGTGGTGGCAGATGGACAAGTTGGGGGACAGGCAGGTTGCTCATCCACATCCCCGTGTCCCTGGGTGTCCTGGGGAGGATTGCTGGGTGGCTTGGGGTGCCAGGAGAGCCCAGCTCCCTGCAGGGGCTTGAGCAGGGATGAGTCACCGCTAGGAACATCATGTACAAGTGCTCAGGTCCCTGTTGGTTGCTGGGACCTCCCCAGGACATCGTTTTATAGCCTGCGTGGTCCTCATCTCCCTTCCCATGGCCCCAGCATCTGCTGATGCGGTGGGAAGCACTGTGAAGCGCCAGGGGCCATGGGTGGTCTAAAGAATTAGCCAGGGAGGCAAAAGCGGGGTTTGGCACACGTGGCCATGCCCTCACCTGAGCTGTCCTTGGTCATGGTGTCCACGCCATGGGCCAGCATGGCTTCGAGGCAGTCCACATTCCCCCGCATGGCAGCCAAGTGGAACCTGCAGCAAGGCCCAGGGCCATCAGCCCCATGTCCCCAACCGCGGAAGAGCCCCCCGGAGCATCCAGTGATGCTGCCTTCGAGCAGAGCGGTTTGAAGAACCAAGAGAGCCCAGCACCCCGTGCAGGGGCACACAGGGGTCGTGAGGTGCACGACAGCACTCACGCGGATTTGCCCTCCGAGTCCAGCTTGGTGGCAACCAGGCCCTTGCGGATGAGGAGTGATGTCACCCGCCCGGCATCGTTGTAGTCCACGGCTTGCAGGAGCTTCTCATCGTTCTTGGTCCAGTCCTGGCTCTGCAATGAAGCCAAGACAGGGCCAGGACAGGTGTTTGATCCCCAAGGGCAGTTGGGATGCTGGCCTGGGCTGGTGTCCCCATTCCTGCCATCTCCTCCCCATCCTTGTACCCTGGGGTGGCCACCTCTGAGCCAACCCCTTTGCCAGGTGCCATCTGACCTCAGTAAAGGGAAGGTTTAGCTGCCTGGGACAGGGGTCCGCTTCAGCCCCTGGAATTTAACTATGGATGGGGCTGTAACGAGCCGTGACTTTGGAATGACCTCGTGCCGCTCCATCACCCCTGCTGTGGGACTTGCTCCTGTCATTGCGCTGGCCCCACTGCCGAGCACTGCCACGATGCCCGAGCCCCAGCGCTGCCTGGGCTCTCCCCATCAGCCGTGCACCGGATCCCAAACCCCGTGGTCACCCCGCTTTGGTGACACTGGAGATGTAGCAGGAGCTGGGGCAGTCCTGGCTCGCTGCGTGTGGCTGGAGTGGGTCCCTGGGGACGGCTCTGGACCCTGGGGACATGTGGGATGGGGGGACACCCCCTGCACCTGCCCAGGATGGTGGCCAGAGGAGTGACCTGCAGCAGGACAGGGCAGGGCAGGGAGGAACGTGGGGAGCCCTGGGTTCTCACCACAGCCCGTGGCCACAAAACCAGAGCTGGGTCGCAGCTGCGGGAGGCAGAAAATGGACGTGACCTTTTGAAGCTGCTCGCATCCCGCCCGTCGCCAGCCCTGTGCCCGGCACCAGGACAGCACCAGGGCTCCCTCCCCGGTCACTTCGCAAACCCCCCCGACTACATCCTGGGTCCGAAAAGAACCCGGTATCGCAGGGGCACCGCTCAGAGCGGGAGCGCGATGCTCCCCGCCTCTCCCCCCATCACGCAAGGACAAAGCAGCTCCTGGCGGATGCAGCCGCGGCCCGGGGACG